TCACGCCCCAAAGGACATCTACAGCTCCTCTTCCCTGTGTGGAAAGGACATTTCCCGATGGCTGCTGAAATGGGAAAGCTCTGAGCTAAGCTCTTGCCTCTTTCAGCCAGTTAGTTGTTCCTAATTAGAAGATTGCCACAGGTTGAAGATAGGCAGCTCTTTTCTAAGTCTTTAGGGAGCAGCTATTAAAACTTGTATTTACAGTTGCTTGCCACCTAAATTAGGTCACGTTTAAAAAAACTGCAAAAAAAAAAAAAATGCCACCAGTATAAATATTTCCACTGAAAACTAAAATCTGGTTATATACAGAAGGGAAAAATTTTTTTTCTCCATGTTTGCTTGGAAACTCCTAAACCTGTCTACTTGGACAATGCATGTGCAGTATAAAGTATTTTAGGAAAGGAAAAATTTATTCCGATACTCCCTAGAATAAAAAACTTTCTAGAAGAGGCTGAGGCAACTTCGAGAAGCAAAACTCAAGAATGAAGAATACTATAGTACAAAATTATGGCCAAAAATACTGTATTTTTAACCAGCAAGATCATTGGGGAATTATTATACAACATTAGGTGTTTTTTGCAAAACTAGTTCCCAACCCCAAACAATAGACAATACATGCATTTGAATGACATTTTAAGAACAGTAAATATGATTTTCTTAAATACTGCAAGTTAAAAATGTTTTCTGACAAAACTCCCTAAATACATAGGTCTAGTAAGGGTTTTCAACATGATGACAGGTGAGGAATCCAGCAAGAAGTTGTATTTAGAGTTCTTTGAGGAAAAGAAATCTACCAAAAACACATGTTTCAGTCCAAGTAACCTGAACGTTATACAGCACTTTGTCATCTCTCTTCCTAAACTTGAAAATACTCTAGGAAGAATATTTTCCTCCCTGGTGTTTTTTTCTATCTACCAAAGCTTATACGAAAGTCAGAACTGCTTTATCCAAGTTAAGATCCAATTTGGCCCAATAGGTGTTTTCATAACATGTAAATGTCATTTACTATTGGGTTGGAATCATATAGGGAAATGGAAGATACATGATCAATAGGGAGGTAAGAAGGAAAATATTTGAGCACCTACTGTGTGCTAGGTGTGTATGCATTCTTTGAACAGATGATTCTAGAGGCAAGAGTATTGATGTGATGAGCACTCGGTGTTACACGCAACTGATAAATTACTGAACACTACTACATCTGAAACTAATGATGTACTACTATACGTTGGCTAACTGAATTTAAATAATAAAAAAA